CAAGTTATTTATGTCATACTTGGCCTTTAAGGAAGTGGAATAATACTCTCCACTCCTTACTTGTGGGCTGTGTGTGGTGACTATCTTCCAAAGAGTACAGTATGGAATGAGAGGGGAAGAAAAATTAACTTTACAATGGAGATGACTTACAAATCCTAACTCAAGTTAGATGATTAAGGTTAACATCAAGAGCAATAAGATATATTCATAGTATGCACTCTCAATATGATGTGATGAGAATGGTACTTTAAGTCTTGTTTTTCTTCCCCAAAACAATTACTCCAATCTAATCTTGAGAAAAGCATCAGACAAATCCCAACCGAGGGACATTCTACAAGATACCTTAACCAGTGCTTCAAATTACTAAAGAAGAAGGAAATTCTAAGAAACTTTAATGATTAAAAGTAGCCAAAGAAGACATTACTGCTAAATGTCAGGTGGTATTATGTATCGGATTCTGAACAGAAAAAGGACATTGGGTAAAGATTGGAAAAATTTTAATGAAAAATGCACTTTATTAAGTACTTTAACAGTTAATCAATGTTGGTTCATTAGTTTTGACCAACATACCATAGTAATGCAAGGTGTTTACATTGGAATTATCTGTATGATCTTTGCAATAATTTTGTAAATACAAACCCCCTGTAATAAAAAGGAAATAAAAGTTTAAAAGTAAAAAGGGAACCATATATCTATATCAATATCTTCATGTCTCTCACTCTCTGTCTCTGTAACTATCTATTTTTAATTTAAAAATTCTTTTGAATCATCTGGGGATTTTTGCCAACATACTGGTAATTGGATTTCAACTCCACTCAATTATATGAGAAAATATAGAGTAGCTTTTTTGGCATTGGCATCAAATTTTTTTAAAGCTTCCCAGGAGATAGTAATGTGTACTCAGTATTATGAACAATTGAATTAGATGAACTGAGTGATTACTCCTAAAGAAATAGAAAACCGGAGTATTTTAATAACCATAAAATACAAGGAATCAAATGCAAGTGGCTTTATTTGTGAAGCCTATCAAATTTTCAAATAACAGGTAATGCCTAGATTGTTTAAACTTCTCTAAAACAGAGAATACTTTTTGAAAAAGTTTCATTATTCTTTCTAAGAAGTGAGCATAACCTGATATCCAAAGTCATCTAATAGATCACAAAAATGACCCCAATAAAAACAACATTATATGTAGACCAATCTCACTCATGGACAGAGATGCCACACTACGTTAAAGAAATAATACATCAAGAAAAAATAGTTTTAATCTCAGAAATGATCTTATGGTTTAACATAAGGATATTCATTGATGTGATTCACTGTACTAATAGTTTAACCCACATAAATCCAGGGAGGAACATATTCCAGTCTTTGTATAAAACCTTAGTCATATTACCAAATTAACTGTAAGGTATTTAAAAGCTCCTTTGAATTCACAAAACATATGTCGACTTCACAAATCCTGTCTTTGTGCATAATAATACTTCAAAAAATTCTTTTCAAATGTTTCTTCTACATATTCATCAAATCCCCAGAAACTGACTCAAAGACTTTTCCTCCTACAAATTTATCCCCAAACCTGGCCTATACATATACAGTTCACTACTTAACACAGGTTTGAACTACGCAAGTCCATTTACAGGTGGATTTTCTTTTGCTTCTGCCACCGCAAGAGAGTAAAAGTAACCCTTTCTCTTCCTTCTCCTCCTCATCCAACTCAACATAAAAATGATGAGGATGAAGACCTTGATGATGACCCATTTATTATGATGATCTATTTATTATGATGAATAGTAAATATATTTTCTCTTCCTTATTAATTTTTAAATATTTTATATTCTTTAGCTAACTTAATTGTAAAAATACAGTATCAAATATATACAGCATACAAAATATGTTTTAATCAACTATTTATATTATTGGTAAGGCTTCCAGCCAACAGTAGGCTGCTATTAGTCAAGATTTTGCAGAGTCAAAAATTATATGCAGATTTTTGACAGAGTAGGGGTTGGTACACCTAATCTCCACGTTTTTCAAGATCAACTGTATACTTTCATTTCTTATCCCATCTAACTTCAATACTCTCTTTCTTTTTTCCCTTCATTCAAACATTAATTCTCTGTACTTTCTAAAGCAGATCCTGTTAGATTCATAGTTTTTCCTAATTGGCGTTTTTCTTAAAATAACCTGCACAAAAGGCTAAGAGGCCAATGAGACAACACAGAATCATTTTAACAAGAAAGAAGAGTGGGAAGAAATGGAAAGCTTCAAAATGGAACTTCAAAATTGTCTTTAATTGGTGAGCTGGAATTTAAAGAAGTTAATTAATTTGAGTTAATATGTTTCACTCAGTCATAATAGATTAATGGGTTATAACCTCATGGTTATTTTGATACAGTCAAAAAACGCACTTACTAAAATTCAAAAATTTTCCTAATAAATATATCTTAGCTGTAAATGAGGAACATTTCTTAAAGTCAGCATATTATTAAGGAATCATTTCAAAAGTTAGCAGAAAGGATGAACTCCTTCATCAATGATTTTGGAAAATTGTCTCTTTGGGGGAACAAATGGGGATAATACAGAATATTTCACATTATACTCACAAATATACTTTGGATGGGTTAATACTAAAACAAAAATGTATTAATTACATTTTAAATTAATACTAAAACAAAAATATGTATAATAATATAATATAAGAAATTATAATAACAAAGTAGTCCTGAAAAAGTGTAGTAAAACTAAATAAAATACATAAAAATGTGAAAAACAATTCCAGCCAGGTGTGGTGGCCATGCCTGTAATTCCAGAAATTTGGGAGGTCAAGGGAGGAAGACTGTTTGAGCCCACGAGTTACAGACCAGCCTGGGTAACATGGTGACACCCCCTCTCTACAAAAAATTAAAAAATAGAAAAGCAGGGCATGGAGGCACATGCCTGTGGTCCCAGCTACTAGGGAGGCTGAGGTGGGAGAATCACTTGAGCCTGCAGTGAGCCATAATCATGCCAGTGCACTCCAGCCTAGGTGACAGAGGGAAACCCTATCATTAAAAAAAAAAAGAAAGATAAGAAAAGCATTTCCATTATTTTGTAGTGTGTAAAATCCACTTACAGAACATAAAATCTTTAATGCCCTAAGAAAAAAATAGGCAGATTTAAATCAACAACAATGAGAATCAAAACGATGACAGATATTATAAACAAAATTAAGAAACAAGCAACAAATTAGGAGAAAATAGTTGCATCATATAAAATATATATCTGGAACATTCCTATAAATTAGATTTACAAACGCAAACAACAGAGTGGAAACATGTGCAAAGAATAGGAACAAAAAAATAAATCCAAGCAATTAGCAACTCTAACAAGAAATTTCTCAGCCTCCTAGAAATAGCAAAAATGCAAACAGAAATGCAGATAATTAGGGTGTGTCCTTTTGTTTTTTAACAAGATAATATGTTTTGGCTCTGTGTCCCCCCGACAAATTTCATCTCGAATTGTAATCCCCATATGTTAAGACAGGGACCTGAGGGGAAATGGATCATGGTGGCGGGTCCCCCCATGCTGTTCTCATGGTGGTAAGGGAGTTCTCAGGAGTTCTGATGGTTTAAGTGGCAGTTTCCCCTGCGCTTTCTCTCTCTTGCTGCTTGTGAAGCAGTTGCTTGTCTCTCCTTCACCTTCTGCCATGATTGTAAGTTTCCTGAGGTGCCCCGCCCCCAGCTATGTGGAACTGTGAGATAATTAAATATCTATTCTTTATAAATTATCCAGTCTCAGGTATTTATAGTAGTGTGAAAATGGACTAATACACAAGACAAAACTAAAACTGAATTGGCAAAGCAAACAGACAGTCTTATCAAATAAGCAATTGGGTGTTATTTGTCTAAGTCTAAAAATAAGATCAAATAGTGTTTGACCCAGTAAATCAATTTCTAGGCATTTTTTGTACATGTGTAGAAACATATATATGTATTATATATATAATTTTAATAAAAAAATTGGAAATTAATATGATTTGGCTGTGTCCTCATTCAAATCTCAACTTGAATTATACCTCTGAGAATTCTCACATGTTATGGGAGGGACCCAGGGGGAGGTAATTGAATCACAGGGACCGGTCTTCCCCATGCTATTCTCATAATAGTGAATAAGTCTCATGAGATCTGATGGGTTCATCAGGGGTTTCTGCTTTTGCTTTTTCCTCATTATCTCTTGCTGCCATCATGTAAGAAGTACCTTTTACCTTCTGCCATGATTCTGAGCCCTCCTCAGCTATGTAAAACTGTTAGTCCAATTAAACCTCTTTTTGTTCCCAGTTTCAGGTACGTCTTTATCAGCAGTGTGCAAACAAACTAATACAGAAACAATACAAATTTTCATAAATTTTTAGCAAGGTAAATTGCCATCTAACTAGAGGCTACATTTTGCAGCCTTCCTTAGGCTTGAAGGTGATCCTATACCAATTCTGGGCAATCATATGTGAATAGCAATGATTTTTGCAATTTCTGGGCAGTAGGAATATCAAATGGAAGCTGTTAGTTTTTCATTTCTTCTATTATTTCTGCCCCATTATATGAGCCATATCAAAACATGGCAGAGAGGAATCAGCTCCTCTTGTGGAGATGACAAAAATGAAACAAAACATTTTAGTGGATGGATGGAATCTAGGTCACCAAAAACTGTTGTAGAGAAAGCCTGCCAACCCTCCTGGAACTTTTGTGTAGGAGAAAATCATACTTTCCATTTGACTTAAGCCCCTAATATTTGCTTCTAGATAAAGAGGTTGAAATAATACCTCAACCAATGTAGTAGTAAATCACACACATTGAGCCTGTGACTCTGAAATGTGAAAGCACTGTTATAGACACTTTTATCAGAATTCACATACAGGTTTACATTCAAAACCAACAAAGTGACATGCTGACATCTCCAAAATTCTTAAAGACACAAATCTCAAGCAGCTTAGATTTTATCTTAGTTGCATCTTTTTTACTAACCTCCAAAGTAAGAGCCATCTGTCAGCTTCATTTCTTTACTGGATTTTGTAATGACACCAGCAACACCATGTTGAATGAAATACATTTTTTTACCCACGGCTCCTTCTCGTATGATATAATCTCCAGGTTGAAACACCTCAAATCTCAACTTGCTCAGCATGGCAGTCACAAAATTAGGATCCGCATTAGCAAATAAAGGCATTGTAGCCACCAGTTTCCGACAGTTGAAGTTGACTATCTCCTAAAGATGTCAAGAGTAAACAAATATTAAGAGAGATATTAATCATATCTGGAAGAAAAACATGCTGAAATTTAAAAAATAGATATAGCATAACATCGCAATTTAAATTTAGATACAAAAATTCATAAATTATAGTAATGCACATCACATTACAGTCAGGATTGCGTTTTATTTTGATGTTGAAATTTTTGTATTCCCAGAACCTAGTGTAGTATAAGAATATATTAAATATTCGATAAATGTTAATTCAATATATGAAAATCTCATCTTTTAAAACTTCCCATTTCTTTACTATTGTGTATACGAAGCTAAAACTTCTAAAATGTGAATATATTTTATTCTTCATTTTATCTTTTATTTATGAAGAAAGCAAGCCATATCACTTCCTATTAGCTATGACATTGCTGCTTCTGTGCTCCATTTTGTCTGGGCCCAACTACCAGACAAAAGCATTTTGATGTTTTTTTTTGTCAATGTCATTCACATTAGAGTGAGGACAATGGATAGTACAGAAAAAGGTTACACAAAGGAGACTCTAATCTAAAATTATAAATTCATCAGGCACAGTGGTTCATGCCTGCAATCCCAGCACTTTGGGAGGCCAAGGCGGGTGGATCACGAGGTCAGGAGTTCAAGACCAGCCTGGTCAAGATGGTGAAACCCCATCTCTATTAAAAATACAAAAATTAGGTGGGCATGCTGGCGGGCACTTGTAATCCCAGCTACTCGGGGGGCTGAGGCATAGAATTGCTTGAACCCAGGAGGCGGAGATTGCAGTGAGCAGAAATCACACCACTGTACTCCAGCCTGGAAAACACAGTGAGACTCAATCTCAAAAAAAAAAAAAAAAAAAAAAAAAAACCCTAAAATTAAAATTATAAATTCAGTTGTTGTCTGGGTTAGAATCAGAAGTCGTTCTTTCTAAAGACTCTTGGGATTCCATTGCAAATGATGGGCTAGAGAGAGGACATATTTGCCTTTTCCTGACTTGTTTGTTTTATTCCAGGAGCAGGTCAGTTCTTAAATAGGAGATCTGTATGTTTGATTTCATTCTGTGGATTCTGGTCAAGATTAAACATATTTTTATCCCTCTAGATGAAAACAGAAATGTGGAATCAAACATTTTTAATCATGCAAATCAGTTATGTGACACAGAATAGACAGTGGAAATCTACATTTTGCCACAAAGCCACTTCTCAGAAATTTCCTTACCAATGAGTCGCCCCACAAAAGGTTGGGACTGCATTTGTGATTTTGTTTAAGGGGCACAGAAATTGGTCATGTCTGCTACGAGGTGAAAAGGAGGCACAAAGAATCATAGGTAGTAACAGAGTCTGAGAACTCTATCTTCTGCCTTGGGGAAATATGTTATACAGACCCATAAATTCCAAGACTGAGAAAGAAAGTTTCCATGATCTTATTTCATCAAATGACCTAATACCATCCAGGATAGATAAAGAATTCCAGCTGATACGGAAGGCACAACATTTTGGATCTACCGTGGAAGAAAAGGTGTTTCATTCTCAACAGTATTTTGTGAGTTTAGTTAAGAATAACAATGTCTGTAATAGTAGAGCTTCATGGAAGATGAGAAAATATACACAAATAAGCAACAATAATCAGAAAGTGAACTTAGCAGCAAAGACAAGAGAAAGATACTAAATGTGGTACTTAGTGCAGCATTATTCAGGCCAAAATATACACTTGAATCCATGATTGACTGTATGTAGGGAAATTTGTGATAATTTTATCTGATGCATGGAGTGTGGGTCTATAATAATGTTCAGTAAGTAGTAAGTACTGAATAAATATGCATGCATATAAAGGAAGCAGTGGAGAAGGAAGAAATGAAGGAAGGGAGGAAGGAAAGAAAGAAGGGAGGAAGAGAGGGAGCAGGTGGGAAGGAAAGAAGGAATGGATTAAAGAAGAAACAGAGGCAGGGAGGGAGGGAGGAAGAATAAAGAAGGAAGGAAGGAAGGAAAGAAGGAAGGAAGGAGGGAGGGAAAGAATTAATGAATGAAGGAAGGAAAGAAGGCAGGGAGGGAGGGAGAAAGGAAGGGAGGAAGGTGGAGTTTCAGTTGTAAAAAAGTATTCACAAACACTAATTTTATTCTCGTTGGGAGATGGTTACTTAAAACTCAGCTTTCTCAAGCAAATGGATTGAGAGACAAGTCTTCTGCATTAAAAAATTTGTTTTTACTATTCCAAATATTTCTATACAAAACAATAGGAAGATAAAAAGTGATGTGGAGTTAAAAGAAGACAGAGCTATGTCATGAAAATAGCTCGATTAGTTGATTGAGAGTTAATTATTTCACATATAAAATGATGTAGAATAATACTGTGTAGGAAATTGAAAATGACTCAGATTATAGAGAAAGTAATTTTTCACACAAAAATAATAGAGAATCCCTTCATGTTTGTACCTTGATTTGAACTATGCAAATGTTTCACTTCACTGATCTCTCATTTGTTATTTTAGGAAATAATTGCAATTATGAATAACTTGTTAATGATACATTGCATATCCAGGTGTTTCTGTTAGAACTCCATTTATTGTAATACTCCTGGAATAATTTCATATTTTTGTTTGAAGAAATCTATTAATGTTTTCTTCCTTCATGCAACTTTTACTTCCCAGGAGTATTACCTGATTAAAACTGTAAATTCTAACAAAGATATGATAGAAAAAAGGTAATGAGACAGAATCTTCTTGGATTCTAAAAGTCTTTCATTCTCCCATGAAAACTGCTTTTTTTGAGGATGTCTAGTATATAGAAACAATCATGTAAGTATAGAATGAAGCAAAACTTTAAAAAAATATTTTTAATCAATCACCTTTCCTTATGGCACATTGAGGTAAATAAAACACACAATTACTATCTCTAACATTCATTCAGATTACTTATGGCACTTGTTATAATTATCTCTTTTTATCAAAATATCAGATCTGAGTTAGGAGTATTATCTATATGCATTAAATTGAGGAAAGGTTGCTTGCTAAGGAAGGCAAACACATGGTTCTGATCTTAGTAATAAGTTGCTCCAGACTATTAAGTTTATGCTGGCACTTTAAAAAATGCAATTATTTCTTTCCTGGCACATTTTGTAGTATAAGAAAGTATGTACACGCTAAAAACAAATGAAAAAACAAACAGAAAGACCAATCCCCAGAATGAAACAGAACAAAACCCCCACAGTAATGAAGGTATTTCAAAGGGACACAGGGGCCAACTGAAAGAGCTACCAATAGTCAAACAAAGATGGAAAAATTTGAGTAACAACAACAAAAAGTATTGGATTAAACCAAAAGTATAAAATACATAACCAAGATCACATACAAATCTAGATGACTGGCTAAACTACTAAAAAGTCAGGGATAACACATAAACTTTCTCTTTAAATTCAAAATAATTTCAAATAACTCATATAAGCATTCCTGCCTCAAAAAGTTGGAGAATAATTACCAAACCCTTAAGGATGGGCTGAGCATTGAGCATGGGGACTTCCTTCAAAGAATACAATAAGGAAAAGAGGGGAAAAGTAGTAACTTTCCAATAGAGAAATATGAAAAACTCCACCTCAAGTCAGACGATCAATGTTAACATCAACAGTGCTAAATCATGTTGGTAGCATGTACTCTTGGTATGATGTAATCAGAAGGGCATTTTACTTTTGTGGCATTCCTACACCAAACCCATAATCCCAGTTTAATTATGACAAAACCATCAGCAAACCCAAATTTAGGAAAATTCTACGCAATATTTGGCCAGTTCTCCTCAAGATGATCAAGGTAATCAAAAACAAGGACATTTGGAAAAAACTGTCCCAGACAAAGGGAGACTAAGGAGACAGGACAACTGACCATAATGTGGTATCCTGGATGGGATCTTAGGACAGAAAAAAGGAACTTTAAAGCAAACTAAGGGAATCTGAATAATGTTTGGACTTTTAATAATAATGTATCAATTTTGAGTCGTAACTGTAGTTATAAGGTATTAAAAACAGGGGAAACTGGATGTGAGGTATATGGGAATTCTCCATACTATTTCTGAAGTTTTTTGGCTTACATAGTTTGGATGCTTAGCACTCCACGATTCATGCTGGAATCTGACCTAATATTGGAGGTGGTGCACGGGAGGAGGTGTTTCAGTCATGGGGGAGAAGAACCCACATGAATGATTTGGTGCTGTCCTTGAGTTAATGAGTGAGTTCTCACTCTCTTAGTTCCCATGAGAGTTGATTGCTAAAAGGAGCCTGGCACCTACTCTCTCTCTCACGTCTTCTCTAATCATGCGACATGCAGGCTCCCCTTCCCCTTCCACCATGATTGAATATTTCCTGAGGTCCTCACTAGAAACACATGCTGGTGCCATGCATCTTGTATAGGCTGCTGAATTGTAAGACAAATCAATTTCTTTACAAATAACTCAGCCTCAGGTAGTCATTTGTAGCAATGAAAAATGAATTAAGACATCTGCAAATATAAAATTATTTAAAAATAAAAAGCTTATCAAAGATGTAATTACTGCTCTTCATAGTTAAGAAAATATGATATTTTATCATAGCATGTAAAGCATATTTTCTTTAATTTAACTCATTTAAAGGTTAATTTAAAAAAGATCTCCTAGTAAATACTTGAAAACAGTCATATCATAGTGCAGTCTGGGGTTAAGCAGCAGGCTTGGAATATGTCTGTTTATTTGCTGTGGAGTTAATAACTGTAGTCTGTCATAAGAAGACAAATTGTATATATATAATGCATTTTCAACCTCAGATAAATGTTTTTTATCAAGTTTTTGTTAACTAATAAAAATCTATAATTATTTCTGTATCCTGTTCCATTGGTCTATGAGTCTGTTCTTGTACCAGTACCATGCTGGTTTGGTTACTGTAGCCCTTTAGTATAGTTTGAAGTTGGGTAGCATGATGCCTCCAGCTTTGTTCTTTTTGCTTAGGATTGTCTTGGCTATTTGGGCTAGTTTATAGTTCCATAAGAA